TACACGGGCACGAAACCGAGGCGATTGGCGGAATGCAATGAGACGCCTTGAAATGGCGTCACTACCGGGCAACGCAAACCGGGCAATGGCAGGAATGCAATGAAATGACATGAAACATGATATGGGCTTTACCAACATGAGTGAGCCTTCAACCACACTCACATAGGATGCGGCGGATAAAAAGAAGGTGCCTCGAAATGCGTGCCACACGGCACGCAAACGAAGCAATGGAAATACGAATGAATGACATGAAAACATGATATGGGCCTTATACAACAATGAGTGAAGCCTCAGCCACACTCACATAGGATGCCGGCCGGATAAAAAAGAGGTGCCTCAAATGCGTGCACACGGGCACTGCAAACCGAGGCAATGGCGGAATGGTGAGAATGACATGAAAACATGATATGGGCTTATACAACATGAAGTGAGCCTCAGCCACACTCACCATTAGGATGCCGGCAGATAAAAAGGAGGTGCTCGAAATGCGTGACCACGGGCACGCAAACCGAGGCCAATGGAAAAAATGCGATTAATGCATGAAAAACATGAATGCGGCTTATACTAACATAAGTGAAGCCCTCAAGCCAACTCACATTAGGATGTCGGCGGATAAAAAGAGGTGTCTCGAAATGCGTACAACACGGGTACGCAAAATCGGGCAATGGAAAAATGCGATGTAATGACATGAAACATGATATGGGCTTATACCAACATGAGTGAGCCTCAGCCACACTCAACATAGGATGCCGGCGGATAAAAAGGAGTGCCTCGAAATGCGTGCCACGGGCACGCAAACCGAGGCAATGGCGGAATGCGATGAAATGACATGAAAACATGATATGGGCTTATACCACATGAGTGAGCCTCAGCCACAACTCACATAGGATGCCGCGGATTTAAAAAAGGAGGTGCCTCGAAATGCGTGCAACACGGGCACGCAAACCGAGCGGTGGCAGAATGTGATGAAATGACATGGAAATGATAGCAATCATTCTATGAATTTCAGCAGTAAATATGGGGAAAACAGTCACGAAATGAGGCGAAATGACATGAAATGCATGAATTGTCCCGAAATGCAATTTAGGCACCCGAAATGACCTATAGCTATGCCAAACATGCACAATATGGAATGCGCAATGCAAATACAGAAGCTGAGGCAGATCCCCAAAAAGGCACTTTCCACAGTTATAAACATGGCCAAACAGCAAGCCATAGGTATGCAAAAATGGCATGCAAGAATAGGGGCCAAAAGACGGGGTAATTTGAAGGTAAGTGATATAAGAAAAACCAAACTGGAAAATTTTCCTTCTACAACACTGAAGAGGGGACCAAAAATATGAATATTTTACATATATGCAGCCTCTTAAAATCAGTATACAAACATGATAGAAATGTGATGCAAAATAAGGCTCAAAAATGGCTATAACATGAGGTATGCAAAATAATCACCAAACAGCCGAAGACCCTTAATAAAACATGTAGAATGGACCAAAATAAGCACTTTTCCGGAACTGTAAAATGGCCAAAAACAAAAGTATGGTAGGCTGCCATTGCATGCAAGAATGGGGAAGAAAAGAGGAGTATAAAGGTAGGTATAACATGTAAGTCCCAAATGGTGTTGAGCCCTTCTTCAATGTTGAATAGGGGCTCAAAATAAGCCTAATATTAGTTTACAACATGCTCGAAAACAAATTGGTCATGGGCCAAAAATAGGATGCAAGATTATGACATATAAGAGGATCAATGAAGCAAGTGTGTCATGGAGGGGTCAAATAGGGTTGAGCCCTTAATGAAAAGTGAATATGAGCTCAAAAGAGGGCCCTTTTCAGTTGGGGCCAGAGCTTGAAACAAAAAGCATAAAAGGCTAACCAATGGATCAAGAAAAAGGGTCAAAGTGAAGAAATGTTACTCACCCTTGAAGACTAAGACTTTTGTTGCTTCTTGGACCAATTTGCAGCTTCTTTTGCCTTTGAGAAACCTTCCTTGTTGCTGGAAATGAGGAGGTGGTGGTAGAGCTTGGTGGTGTAGAAGAAATGGTGGTTAGGGACTTAGAGATTTTTAAAGAAATGAGAGGTATGGAGATGGAGTTGTGTATGGAAGCTTGAAGATGAAGTTTTCTAACCTCAACAAAGGATATATCTTGCTTGCTATATAGGCCAAAAAGGGGGTGTAAAGGTGGGGGAAAAGGAGAGTAACTTTCCCCTAAGAAATATCCCCCGGATAAAGATCTTTTCTGGGGGATAAAGCTCTACAGCTGTAAAGTGCACAGTGCAAGGAATACGGCCGGCCTGGTACTTTTGTTGCAGGTGGCCGGCCGGCCACACCCCCTAGCCGACCGGCTAGGGGTCAAAAAGGTCAATCAGATTTTCTGGCCGGCCACCAACTGGTGGGGTCCTCCTATCTGTGTACAACACAACCCTGTGGTTAAAAGTCCAAGAAAGTGGGTCCAAGGGGTTCAACATTAACCCGGAAGGAGGGGAAAATGAGGTGCCTCGAAATGCGTGCACACGGGCACGCAAACCGAGGCGATGGCGGAATGCAATGAAAATGAGGTGCCTCGAAATGCGTGCACACGGGCACGCAAACCGAGGCGATGGCGGAATGCAATGAAAATGAGGTGCCTCGAAATGCGTGCACACGGGCACGCAAACCGAGGCGATGGCGGAATGCAATGAAAATGAGGTGCCTCGAAATGCGTGCACACGGGCACGCAAACCGAGGCGATGGCGGAATGCAATGAAAATGAGGTGCCTCGAAATGCGTGCACACGGGCACGCAAACCGAGGCGATGGCGGAATGCAATGAAAATGAGGTGCCTCGAAATGCGTGCACACGGGCACGCAAACCGAGGCGATGGCGGAATGCAATGAAAATGAGGTGCCTCGAAATGCGTGCACACGGGCACGCAAACCGAGGCGATGGCGGAATGCAATGAAAATGAGGTGCCTCGAAATGCGTGCACACGGGCACGCAAACCGAGGCGATGGCGGAATGCAATGAAAATGAGGTGCCTCGAAATGCGTGCACACGGGCACGCAAACCGAGGCGATGGCGGAATGCAATGAAAATGAGGTGCCTCGAAATGCGTGCACACGGGCACGCAAACCGAGGCGATGGCGGAATGCAATGAAAATGAGGTGCCTCGAAATGCGTGCACACGGGCACGCAAACCGAGGCGATGGCGGAATGCAATGAAAATGAGGTGCCTCGAAATGCGTGCACACGGGCACGCAAACCGAGGCGATGGCGGAATGCAATGAAAATGAGGTGCCTCGAAATGCGTGCACACGGGCACGCAAACCGAGGCGATGGCGGAATGCAATGAAAATGAGGTGCCTCGAAATGCGTGCACACGGGCACGCAAACCGAGGCGATGGCGGAATGCAATGAAAATGAGGTGCCTCGAAATGCGTGCACACGGGCACGCAAACCGAGGCGATGGCGGAATGCAATGAAAATGAGGTGCCTCGAAATGCGTGCACACGGGCACGCAAACCGAGGCGATGGCGGAATGCAATGAAAATGAGGTGCCTCGAAATGCGTGCACACGGGCACGCAAACCGAGGCGATGGCGGAATGCAATGAAAATGAGGTGCCTCGAAATGCGTGCACACGGGCACGCAAACCGAGGCGATGGCGGAATGCAATGAAAATGAGGTGCCTCGAAATGCGTGCACACGGGCACGCAAACCGAGGCGATGGCGGAATGCAATGAAAATGAGGTGCCTCGAAATGCGTGCACACGGGCACGCAAACCGAGGCGATGGCGGAATGCAATGAATAGGATTCCAACTCTCCTTATAAGAGTCCTCCTAGGAATCACACACCCTACTCATTACCAACCAAGTGAGATGGTTTGCACAATCCTAGTAGGACTCTACTCTCCTTAGCAGAGTCCGCCTAGGAGTCACACTTCTACTCACTACCAACCAAGTGAGATGGTTTACACAATCCCAGTAGGACTCTAACTCTCCTTAGTAGAGTCCTACTAGGAGTCTCATCATTGCAAGCCAAGTGAGATGGCTGAACCTTTTACCTCGGTTATACATTCCTGCCCGAACTGATTTATCTCGATCCCCTGCCCTTCGGACCGTGTGATCGAAAGCCGATCTAACGGATGCCACCCTGCCGAGCTATACACAGCTCGACCCTCGCCATTGATGCTACCTCCTTGTAATAAGCTGCTGCAACCACATCGAGCTAAGTTACCTCGGTCACACGCTTAAGTAATGATGTAGATGGCGCCCGGCCGAGTTATACCAAGACCGGCTGAGCTATACCAAGCCCGACATCCTTTCTCATCAATACCTCGGCTAACCACCAGGCCCACTTATTTCAGTTGACATCTTTACCTCGGCTAACATTGCGGTCAGCCAAGTTACTTCGGCTCTGTGATACTTTAAGCACTATTATCAGTCTTGACTTCAAGATGACGCCCTGTAGAGCTATCGTTTTAGCTCGGTCCTCTTTCTACCGATACCTCGGTCCATAGTTCGGCCCAAACCCAAAATATGAAATGTCTTTCTTGGCCTAAGACCGAGCTACACCAGCCCTTATCTCGCCCCATTACGCGGTCCAACTCTCAAAGAAAACTCTTCCTAGCTCGGCCCAATTTGTTTACAAATTACCCTCTCAGGTAGCATATATATTTTTTCAGTAGTGATACACAAATAAATAAATAATGTGTAGTATAATTATCTATAATTTCGTAGAATTCTATTTTGTGTATATATATATTTGTCTTCATTTTATGTTATTGAACTTATTATTGAACAGGTTGGTGGCTTAGCGGGACGTGGGAAGCATAGACCATCTAGCAGAAAACGTCAAACGTTGAAAGGTCAACTACTCTCCAGCCAATAACAGATCGAACGGACTCCTCTCTCATCCATGAAAAAACCTTCTACTTTTTGGTTCTTACAACTCGACTCCCCTCTCTCCTCTTTCTCTCTCCTCCTCGCCCCCATACCACTACTCTCTCCGCTCACTAACCACAACCCACCATTTCAATTTATCAAAAAATATCATTAACAACAAAAGTAACGACATTGAAAATCAAAAATCTTTGATTCAAACTTTTTTGACTTTGTTTTTCATCAATTGAGAATAACAAGTTAGCATTCCAATAAATCTTTCTTCAATGGAGGTTGAGAAAGACAAACACCTTCCTGAAAAGTCCGGTAGCTCTGCCTCTAGAGACGTCGAGCAAGACAACCACGACCAACAAGACCCTGACCCCAATCCCAAACTTAATCCTGACAAAGACCACCACCACCAAAACAACGCCACTGACAATTCTGAACTACCCACAGAAACAAAACCAAAACAAGAGAGTACCGAAGAGGCGGAGAACAAAGAAGAGGAGACCATAACAGAGAATATTGAAGAATCTCCTCCTTCACCTCCTCCTCCCGACTTGGGCAAAGTCTCCGAAGAGATTGATCAATTCATCCATGCTTTCTCTAGCATAAATGATCAGGAATCTGACCTGCCGGAAGTTCCTGACGTTGTGGAACAATTTGCATTTCTTTCTGAGGAAAAAGTTGCAAATTATGATTCAATCGAAAGCCCGGTGAAATGGAATCAGCTTTCAGAGGAGGACTCTTTGTCATTTTTGGAAGTCGTGGATCGTTTGTCGAAGCTGACGGCGTCGCTCACTGTGTTCTCATCAGAATCAAAGTACGCTTCGTCAATCAATCGCATGGGTGGTGTTTTGCAACGAGCAATGTCATACTTGGAAGATGAGTTCAGGAAGCTTCTCGAAGATCCAAAGTTTCCTGATTTTGATCATGGTAATGACTCGAAATCATCGAACTCCAATCAAGAAGTTGATCAACCAACATCGGATGCGCAGGCGTCTAATTCCACGGTAGATAACAATTTTCCAGGATACTCTGAGGATGTTGTATCGGATCTAAACAGATTAGTGAAGGTGATGATGACGGGAGGTTTCGAGACAGAATGTTATCAAGTTTACCTTGTATCGAGAAGGCATTTATTGGAAGAGACATTGCACAGGCTAGGGTTTGAGAAGTTTAGCATCGACGATGTTCAGAAGATGCAATGGGAACCACTAGAGAGAGAGATCGATTCATGGAACAAAACTTTTAAGCAATGTGTCACAGTGCACTTGACAGGTGAACGCAAGCTCTCGGAGGCAGTGTTCTTTGACTACCCGTCCATCACCGACGGCCTCTTCAGCAGCCTCTCGCGTGGAATTATGATTCAGCTTCTCAACTTTGCCGAGGCAGTCGCAATGACGAAGCGTTCATCAGAGAAGCTGTTCAAGTTTCTCGACATATACGAGACCTTGCGCGACGTGATTCCAAGCATGGACGATTTGTTCCCTAAAGAAATGGTGAATGAGCTTAAGACTGAAGCCTCATTGACTCGTACCCGACTCGGGGAGGCCATGGTTTGCATTTTCTGCGAACTGGAGAACGCGATCAAGGCTGACACAGGGAAGACTACGGTTCCCGGCGGTGCGGTTCACCCCTTGACTCGCTACACCATGAATTATCTGAAATACGCATCCGAGTACAAAGACACCCTAGAACAAATCTTCAAGGAGCACCAAAATATGGAGCGAGCCGACTCGACTACCGGATCCGACAATGATTACAGTAACAATAACGCACAGGCGGGTGGCAACAATCAGAACGCAGTAAAGCTTTCGCTGTTTGCAATGCAGATAAATAAAGTGATGGAATTACTGGATACAAATCTGGAGACAAAATCAAAGCTATACAAGGACATTGCATTGAGCTCAATTTTCATGATGAACAACGGGAGATACATTTTGCAGAAGATCAAGGGATCTCCAGAAATAAACACCTTGATGGGCAGCACATGGTCTAGGAAGAGATCGTCAGATCTGAGAAATTATCACAAGACATACCAACGTGAAACATGGGGGAGACTTTTGAATTGCTTGACCCATGAGGGATTGAATGTGAATGGGAAGGTGGTGAAACCAGTGTTGAAAGAGAGGTTCAAGAGCTTCAACGCCATGTTTGATGAGATACACAAGATGCAGAGCATGTGGGTGGTTAGCGACGAGCAACTTCAATCGGAGCTTAGGGTTTCGATATCAGCGGTCGTCATACCGGCATACCGGTCATTCTTGGCAAGGTTCAGTCAAACTTTCACTCCGGGGAGACAAACGGAGAAATATGTAAAATACCAGCCTGAGGATATAGAGACGCATATTGATGAGCTGTTTGATGGAAATGCAACTCCCACAGGGAAGAGGAGACCATAATAGGCGAGGGAGGATTCAACCAAATGCTGCTACAAAGAACTTGTATAAACAACTTGCATTTTTGGTCATGGAAGAAACAATTGTTAGAGATTTGAGACTTGCAACAATGCATTTGTATTCATTTTGGATGACTTGTTAAGAAAATTTTCACATTTTCTTTCTTCTAAAAAAATATATATGACTATTGCTATTTAGGTTTAAAAATTGAAATTTTTATTGATAAATCTCATTTAGAAGTGTTTTAACTCAAAAAGTCCATGAAGAAATTTATTAACTCATTTAGTCCAATGTATGTATAGTTTTATTCCATTTAGTCCTTTTTCTTAATTTACACTCTTTTTTTAGACACTTATACCCTTATATTTAATTTTAATACCCTTACAAATATTTTTTGAACAGTTAGCAATTTTATGATATAAATATTCATATTTTAACATTCACATTGGTAAGAATGTAAAATTGGCCCGTGACCCATGGGCGGTCCGAAGATCTCCCCCGGGCCGGAGCGGGCCCGGTCCGTTGACAATGTGAATATTCACATTGACATATTAACATTCACATTAATAAAAGTGTAAAATTGGCCCGCGACCCGTGGACGACTCAAAACCCGCCCGTGGCCCGTGGGCTACCCGGGGCGGGCCCAACTCGTTGACAATGTGAATATTCACATTAACATATTAACATTTACGTTGATAGGAGTGTAAAATTGACCCGCGGCCTGTAGGCGGCCTAAAATCCGCCCGCAGGCTCGGCCCGACCCGTTTACAATGTGAATATTCACATTGACATGTTAACATTCACATTGATAGGAATGTAAAGTTGGCCCGCGGCCCGAAGCCCGCCCGTTGCCCGGGGCGGGGCGGGCTGTAAATATTCATATTTTAACATTCACATTGGTAAGAATGTAAAATTGGCCCGTGACCCACGAGCGGTCCGAAGATCGCCCCCGAGCCGGAGCGGGCCCGGTCCGTTGACAATGTGAATATTCACATTGACATGTTAACATTCACATTAATAAAAGTGTAAAATTGGCCCGCGGTCCGTGGACAGCTCGAAACCCGCCCGTGGCCCGTGGGCTACCCGGGGCGGGCCTGACCCGTTGACAATGTGAATATTCACATTAACATATTAACATTTACGTTGATAGGAGTGTAAAATTGACCCGCGGCCCGTAGGCGGCCTGAAATCCGGTTGCAGGCCCGGCCCGGCCCGGCCCGTTTACAATGTGAATATTTACATTAACATGTTAACATTCACATTGATAGGAATGTAAAATTGACCCGCGGCCCGTGGACGGCCCGAAGCCCGCCCATTGCCCGGGGCGGGACGGGCTGTAAATCTTCATATTTTAACAATCACATTGGTAAGAATGTAAAATTGGCCCGTGGCCCGTGGGCGGTCCGAAGCTCGCCCCCGAGCCGGGACAGGTCCGGTCCGTTGACAATGTGAATATTCACATTGACATGTTAACATTCACATTGATAGAAGTGTAAAATTGGCCCGTGGTCCGTGGGCGGCCCGAAACCCGTCCCCAGCCCGTGGGCTGCTCGGGGCGGGCCCGGCTCGGCCGGTTGACAATGTGAATATTCAGATTAACATATTAACATTCACGTTGATAGAAGTGTAAAATTGACCCGCGGCCCGTAGGTGGCCCAAAACCCGCCCGCGGGACCGGCTTGGCCCGTTTACAATGTGAATATTTACATTGACATGTTAACATTCACATTGATAGGAGTGTAAAATTGGCCCGCGGCCCGTGGACGGCCCGAAACCCGCCCGCGGGCCCGACCCAGCCTGTTTACAATGTGAATATTCACATTGATAAGAGTGTAAATTTGGCCCGCGGTCCGAACCCCACCCGTTGCTCGTGGCAAGGCCGGGCTGTAAATATTCATATTTTAACATTCACATTGGTAAGAATGTAAAATTGGCCCGTAGCCCGTGGGCGGTCCGAAGCTCCCCTAGGCCGAGGCGGGCCCGGTCCATTGACATTGTGAATATTCACATTGACATGTTAACATTCACATTGATAGAAGTGTAAAATTGGCTCGCGACCCGTGGGCTGCTCGGGGCGGGCCCGGCCTGGCCCGTTAACAATATGAATATTCACATTAACATATTAACATTCACGTTGATAGGAGTGTAAAATTGACCCGCGGCCCGTAGGCCACCCGAAGCCCTCTCGCAGCCCGAGGCAAGCTCATTTGGGCCTGGGCCCGAGCCCAGCCCGATAACTTGGGCTAGGACCTGGGCCATCACTTTGAAGCTCGGCCCGCATAAGGCCCATTTAAGGCTCGGCTCGAGGCCCGGCCCGCCAGAGGCCTGGTGTCTTTTTTGTGGAAAATAATAAAATTTTGGAGAAAAAATTAAAAAGAACTAAAAAAAATGGCGAGGCTCACCAAAGGCCCGGCCCGTTTACAATGTGAATATTCACATTGACATGTTAACATTCACAATGATAGAAGTGTAAAATTGGCCCGCAGCCCGTGGGCGGCCCGAAACTCGCCCGCGGCCCGTGGGCTGCACGGGGCGGGTCCGACCCATTGATAATATGAGTATTCACATTAACATATTAACATTCACGTTGATAGGAGTGTAAAATTGACTGGCGGCCCGTAGGTAGCTCGAAACCCGCCCGCGGGCCCGGCCTGGCCCGTTTACAATGTGAATATTTACATTGACATGTTAACATTCACATTCATAGGAGTGTAAAATTGGCCCGCGGCCCGTGGGCGGCCCGAAACCCGCCAGCGGGCCCGGCCCGGCCTGTTTACAATGCGAATATTCACATTGACATATTAACATTCACATTGATAGGAGTGTAAAATTGACCCGCGGCCCGTGGGCGGCCCGTTGCTAGCCCGTTGCCCGGGGCGGGGGGGCTGTAAATATTCATATTTTAACATTCACATTGGTAAGAATGTAAAATTGGCCCGTAGCCCGTGGGCGGTCCGAAGCTCCCCTAGGCCGAGGCGGGCCCGGTCCGTTGACAATGTGAATATTCACATTGATATGTTAACATTCACATTGATAGAAGTGTAAAATTGGCTCGCGACCCGTGGGCTGCCCGGGGCGGGCCCGGCCTGGCCCGTTAACAATATGAATATTCACATTAACATATTAACATTCACATTGATAGGAGTGTAAAATTGTCCCACGGCCCGTAGGCGACCCAAAACCCGCCCGCGGGCCCGACCCGGCCTGACCCGTTTACAATGTGAATATTCACATTGACATGTTAGCATTAACATTGATAGGAGTGTAAAATTAGCCCGCAGCCTGGAGCGGGTTCGACCTCTTGACAATGTAAATATTCACATTAACATGTTAATATTCACATTGATAGGAGTGTAAAATTGACCCGCGGCTCGTAAGCCACCCGAAGCCCTCCAGCGGCCCGAGGCAAGCTCGTTTGGGCTTGGGCCCGAGCCCAGCCCGATAACTTGGGCTAGGACCTGGGCCATCACTTTGAAGCTCGGCCCGCATAAGGCCCATTTAAGGCTCGGCTCGAGGCCCGGCCCGCCAGAGGCCTGGTGTCTTTTTTGTGAAAAATAATAAAATTTTGGGAGAAAAAATTAAAAAGAATTTTAAAAAATGGCAAGGCTCACCCAAGCCCAAGTCTAGGCCCATGCCCCTTGGCTCGACCCACCGAGGCACCCAAAGCCTAAATACCTTTGTGCCAGAGCTAGGGCCTAGGCCTAATTTTTTGGCTCGTGGGCCGGTCCAGCCCGACCCGAATTTTGGCAAGCACCCACGAGGCTTTACATGGGTTGGCCCCTGCCCGGGCTGGGCCGAGCCCCTACACATTGATGATATGAATATTCACATTGACGGTGTGAACATTTACATTGAAACATTAAATAGTAGTATGTAGTTAATGCGTTTTTTTTGAGTGAAGATATAATAACAATCAACATTAAATATCAACATTAATGGGGGCATGAGAGATTTATGATATTTTGGTCTTCTTACCTCAAATAGGAACATTCACATTGACGGTGTGAACATTCACATTGACGATGTGAACATTCACATTAGGGGTATTTTGGTAATTATGTCACCCATAAAACTTATTGAAACATAAGAAAATAATGTGGACTAAATGGAACATAAATAGATGAAAATGGTATTTTGGTCTTCTTACGTCAAATAGGAACATTCACATTGACGGTGTGAACATTCACATTGACGGTGTGAACATTCACATTAGGGGTATTTTGGTAATTATGTCACCCATAGGACTTATTGAAACATAAGAAAATAATGTGGACTAAATGAAACATAAGTAGATGAAAAAAGTATTTTGGTTTTCTTACCTCAACTAGGACCTAATGGAATAGTCAAAAAGAATATGGGTTAGATGGAATAAAACTCTTAGAAAAGGGATTTATCAAAAAAGCCCCCTTAAAAATTATATCTATTTTTTAAACTCAATGAACCAATCATCTTCTTGACACATCACTAAGTTTAAAAAATGAATTTGTATATCATTTTTATATATATATATTTTAAAGGGCGATGTTATGTATATTTGAAACTGCATATCCTTCGAATTAAATTTTAAAGCCATACTGACAGTTGATGGGTTAAAGCCCTTTTAAGTGCTGCAATAGTTTGGGTTAATGCCCTTTTAAGTGCTGCAATAGCTTCTTTTCTTTTCTTTTCTTTTCTTTTTTTTTCAAAAACCAGGGAAAATACTGAAATAGTTTGTAGGCATTTCATTAAAGTGTCTTGTTAAAGAATGTTTATGCATAAATGTACAATCATTTCAATTTTGTTAACAGTGTTTTTAAGGTACTTCTTAATAAAATCATTAACTAGATAATTATTATTATCAATTATACATCTCTATTATGGGATTTGGTTCCCATCCAATATAGAGTAGTACTAGTGTACCAAACCAAACCAAACCAAGCCTTAAGTCCCATCAAATGAGGTCGGCTACATGAATCCTTCTTCTCCATGCGGCCCTATCAAAGGCTATTTCATTAGTCAAATTAAGTAGATTCATATCTCTATTTAAAACGCTAGTCAACATTAATCTAGGCCTACCCTGTCCCCTAACACTTCCATCTACCGTTACAGTATCGTATCTCTTCACTACTGCCTCTGTTGGTCTCCGTTG